AGAACAGTACCAAGGCCTGAACAGAATGGGATCTCAGAGGGCTGAGGAACAGAGGACAATAACCAGAATTAAGAAAGCTGAGGCCTTTCGGCTGAATAAAAACATGATGAAAACTTGTTCATATAACACCGATTTCTCAAGGGATTTTTTGGGGGGAAGGGGGTGTTGTTGTTTTGTTTGTTTTTGTTTCTGTTTTTTATGATTCAGTCATTTCCTGTTGTTGCATGTAGTAAATTGTTCCTGTGGAAAATATACTACTGGCACCAGGGGAAACGTGGAGAATCAGTCCAAACTCAATGGCAAATTAGTCAAACACACCCCTCGGCACAGCTGAAAGAAGCCAGGGGATGTCATTTTTCTACTTACAATGGTGGTCCTGGCCTCTTGGCTGCACTGGATTTCTCTGAGGAGTTTTAAAAAAGTGATGCCTAGGTTACAACCCTCCATTTCCTAGTGTTATTGGTCTTGAGGGCATTATGGGTATTGAGATTTTTTTTTTAACACTCCCCAGGTGATTCTAATGTGTAGCCAAAGTTGAAAACTATTGTAATTATTTCATCAGGAAATGTAAAAAAGAAATATAATCCATTAAAGAAGGTGACAAAGAGAAAGAACTAGAAACGACATGTCCTTTTTTCAGAAATATCTGCATCTTAAAGGCAAAATTGCATAGTGGGAACAGAAAAACAGTCTTTGGATACAGCAGAAGTTCCCAGAATGTATCTTTACCTCCTCCCTCTTCATCATCTAAGGTCCAAGTGATCCTTTCCAAATACTATAAAATAGATTTTCCAAAATGTGGGTGAACATAGTACTTGAAAGCAAATCTTGAACACTGCTAATTAATAGGAAACAGAAGAGGGTTGGGACAGATAAAAGATTGTATTTTATACTTCTTTTTCTGCAGGCATAGATTGTGCACTGGGGCAGGCTCACAGTCCTAGGAGGACTGCCCCAGGGAGCACTTCACTCCATTGGCATTTTGCCCTTCATGACTAGGTTTTGTTCAAATTGGTGTTCACATGTGCTTATGGTCCCATAGCCCACATTTTCTAAAATGCCAGGACAGAAAGCCAGCTATGTGGTTGGAGAGCAGAGGGCCAGCCTTGGCTGAAAATTTAGCCCCACCCAGGTGCCTTAGAGTTCACAGAGAGTTTTAAGCTTCTAGGAATCATAAGGAAGACATTTAATGTGGTGTTAACCTCATTGGAAAGAAAATTGACATCTCAAGATACTTATGAAGCAGAAAGATGGCATTTTCTCCATTTTTGTGGCTTTAAAATAAAGAGAAAACTTTTCTAACTCAACCCTAGCTGCAGTACATGCCAGCAAAGATATATTTCCTATTCATTTGCTCTGACCAAATTTACAAAGAAAATTTTTTAAAGACTGAGAGTTCAATTTATGCCATGAACAATCAAGTTTAAACGGTATAATAAAATTCCACAATACGATACATTTGAATATAATGCCATTCAAGACTGCCTCCCATCTTCTGCCTAGTCCTGTTTCCTAAACAAGATGGATAGACTGAAGCTCTTTTCGAGGTACAGGACAGGGGTGAGAGGGAGCAGCATTAAGCTGGGAGGAAACTCTTTTACTCATTTGGGATGTTCCCAGCTCCATTTACAGTCAGTGCGAACATTATAATTTCAGTCTTTACTTTTGTGCTTATTGTGATAGTACACACCCACTGAAAAAGTTTTCCATTAACCTCTTAATAAAAGGACTCTGCATTTTATACTGTTTAATTGTTTGGACCTGCATCATCGTGTTATGGTTGGTTATATTGCATTTTCAAGCAGATAAGTCATTAATACAGGCATTGCACTATCTGCCTTCCCTGTAACCTCTCCAGTGTTCTCCAGTTTTCTGAGGTATAAGAAGGGACCATGTTTAGAATTGGTCCTCACTAGAGTTCAGATACGGGAAAGCAGGCATTTGCCTCTATTTTGAAAGGCAGCATAAAATACTTTTGTGAATTCTGTACTGGGAATCCTAATAAAGTGCATTATTTGATATTTCCTTTGGGGAGCTAACATCACAGGACTCCATAATGGTGCCTGGTGGTCTTGGCTCCGTCAGCCACTCAGCCTGTATGTGAGCTTCCCCACCCCCTTCTCCCACACCACACTCACCCTCCTTGCAGTTCCAGGGTAAGTGTATTTGCTGGTCTCCTTTGGAGTGTGGACTGGCTCGGCACATGGCCATGGTAACCACGCTGCTCCGAATCTGATCCTCTCTTAAGATTGGGGGATCACTTTACCTGAGACCACAATAGCCAGATACACAGAGCCATGTGAAAGAAAACATAATGCAGGAGAAGGGAATCCAGGTGACAACAACAGAAGCAAGAAAGACAAAGCTGGAAGGAGTTGGAAGTTGAGACTTAGGGTCAGGCAGTGGTTAATAGTGCAGCTCCAAACCAACTGCCTAGATTTAAATTCTGGTTCTGTCACTTACTCTTCATGTGTCCTTGGGCAACTTTCTTAGCTTTTTGTGCCTCACTTTCATAATCTGTATAACAGGAGGTAAAAATAATACATACTTCATGGGGTGGGTTTGTAGCAATTAATTAAAGTTCTTGGCACATAATTTAATTTCCCTAAAAAGCACTTACTATTATTATCATCATAATTATTGTTCTTGAGTGAAGACTTGGCAACCATGAAGAAAAGTTTTCCCAATTGTATTAGTTTCCAAGGGATGACATAACAAATTACTACTGGGTGACTTGAAACAACAGGAATCTTTTCTCTCACAGTTCAAGAAATCAGGGTGTCACCAGGGTTGGTTTCTTCTGGAGTCTCTAAAGGAGAAACCATCATGTGCCTCCCTCAGCTTCTAGTGGTTGCCAGCCATCTTCAGTGCTCGTGGCTTATAGACACATCACTCCAGTCTCTGCTGCCGTTTTCTCTGTGTTCCTGTGTCTTCTTTTCTATCTTACAGGGACGCTTATTGTCGGGTTTAGGGCCCACCTTAATCCAGTATGACCTCATCTCAAACTTTATTTTAATTACATCTGCAAAGCCCCTTATTCTAAATGTCATATTCTGATGTTCCAAGTGGACACGAATTGGGGGGCGACACTATTCAGCCTACTACATCAACTAAGAGCAGGTTGGGATCAAATTGGAGGCTGAAATCATGAACAGATCCTGAAAGAATGTCATCTTGGGCATAATGTTATTCACTAAAAGTGTTGTGTTTTGTGGGTAATCAAGCAAAATGGGCTGGCTACCCTCAAGGTCATCACTGAGCCAGAACTCTGTCAAACACAGAATTAATCTATGTACTCTTGTTCAAACAGTGGTGAACTTCTCTGGAGAGAAGTTGAATGTACCCAGCAGGCACAGGCTGTACCCATCAGGCAGCACTTGTGCTGAGCTTGCCCGCTGCCCTCTCCTGACATGCTGCATGACACTACTGAACCACTGTTGAACACATTCCGACACTGAGTAATGCCATGGCAAGGGCGAGGGCTTTGGAGCCTGAGGGGACTGGATGCTCTGCAAATTACTAGCTCCACTTATCACTTTTATCTTCTCTGAGCCTCAATTTCAGCATCTAAGTATCAGGCATAATATCACCACCAACTTGTTGAGTTGCTGTGAGTAAGAATACTAACTAGCTTCACCCAGGTGCCTGGCATAAATTTTAGTGCGTGGTTGCTATTATTGTAAGGTGGTAGTTCTGACTCTCCCCACTTCCTAGGCTATAGGGCACCAGACCAGAGGGACCATGAGGAAGAGCTGTGAAAACCTGTTTCCACTACCACTTCCACTCTCAGCACACAGCAAACTTAGTAAACACACAGCAAACAGAGGCAGCTGAACAAAATGGCGCATCAACTGCATTTCATTACAAGCACTGCTTCAATGAATGGATCCCCAATAGGTTTTCAGGATTTTTAACCCAATCAGGACAGCGCATGGCAATGTACCTTTCACAACCTAGCAAATGAACACTGGGCAGAGCAAAGACAACAGAAAGCAGTGTTAGTCCTTTAGCGCATGTCAGGGTTTAAAGAAGCTTAAATAGAATTTGAAGGCAATTTTTATTCATAAGTGAATTTTTATTACTTTAATACCAAAGTAATACATGTTCATTGTAGAAATTTTAGAAAGATAGCCAAGCAAAAATAATAAAATCATTCTTAATCCCAGATGTATAGATTTATTTCTTTTATATTGTGACATTTTTTTCCAGTCATTGGTCTTCAACATCATTTTTAACAGCTTTCCAATATTCCACTGTATAAACCTACCAATATTTATTTAATTCATCCTCCATTCCAAGAACTTTAATTTGTTTTCAATTATTTGTTGCTGAAAACAAAGCTTCAGTGATATGAGTGTATTCTTTATTAATCTTATAAACTTCTACTAATTTGGTATTTACTATAACCCAAGCCCCTTTCTAAACTTTGCAATTAACCCAAAAGTTAATTTGCTCGGTTTATGAGGAACCAATTTTATTAGCCAATCTGAAAATCTCTCAGCATTAGCTGTTATCTTAAGCATGCTCTCTCTCCTGGGCTACCTGTGTTCAATAACTGATAAGTAGTCAGTGTTCTTGGGTCTGATTGCTTGCTCATTTGTTCAGGGCTTGGAGCTAACAGGGTCAATATCATAGGTTTCGAGCTCTGCATATACAGGTCATTTAGTTAAGTGTACGTAGACTGGTCCCCTAACCGCAAACGACTATTATTTAAATACTGGCTGTTAGTTTCAAAGAACTGGGCAAAAGAGCATGGGTGGATCAATACAAATCCACCACCACTAAATGAAATACAATGCGCCAACATCTTCATCTTCCCCATGGTGAGATTGTAGAAAAGGAGAAGAAATAATATTGAGGAAGAACAACTTGCTGACCTGATATATATCTTGATTTATAAGCTTAGTCTTTGAGTTCCCCCTATTCTTATGTGAGACCAAGTTCAGTTGCATGTTTGAAATTGCTGACGGTGGTATTTAACCAGCAGTTTTTCTTTCCAGCTGACACAGCCCTTGGCACTGATGATGTATATGATGAAAAAGGATGCCAGTGTGATGTATCTGTAGAAGACCTCACCCCACCACTTAAAACTGTCATTCGAGCTATCAGGTTGGTGGAAAACTGTTGAAGAAATGATTCAGAGACCTACCTCTGGTTATTTGAATTACTATATTGTTAAGTTATTTTCCCCGCAGGTAAATTTCCTGGAATAATTGCTTCCTCTTTTCCTATTCATCCACATGCCTATTAAATTCTGAAATATTTTTTCTTAATACGAAACTCTACTGTGTTCAACACAAAGTATGTTATAAAATGTGGGTTAGATTTGAAAAACCAGGCCACGTCAGCAAGATTACATGAGAATTGACTTGTCATGTGGATTGGTTTCTTTAAGGACATTTAGTGTATAGATGCAACTGGACTTTTTAAAATTATTTTTTATGACGTTCCAATCCACGTTCTGTACTTTGTATTAAAGAAAAAGCCCTCTAGATTATTTCAAAACAGGTTCTG